GTCCCAGCTACTTGGGAGGCGGAGGCAGGAGACTCGCTTAAGCCCAGAAGTTGAAGGTTGCTATGAGCTGTGATGCCACAGCACTCTACCAAGGCAACAGCTTGAGGCTCTATCTCAAAAATAAATAAATAAAAATAAAAAGAGGGGGGTTGGGTGTGGTGGCTCACACTTATAATCCTAGCACTCTGGGAATCTGAGGTGGGTGGATTTCTTTAGCTCAGGAGTTCAGGACCAGCCTGGCCAGACCAAGACCCTGTCTCTACTAAAAATGAAAACTGAAGCAAGAGGATCACTTAAACCCAAGAGTTTGAGGTCGCTATGAGCTATGATACCACAGCACTCTATACATAGTGACAGCTTAAGACTCTGTCTCAAGGCTTGGCGCTCGCAGCACAGTGGTTACAGCGCCAGCCTCATGCACTGAGGCTGGCAGGTTTGAACCCAGCCCGAGCCAGCTAAACAACAATGACAATTGCAACAACAAAAAAGTTGGGTGTGGTGGCAGGCGCCTGTAATCCCGGGTACCTGGGAGGCTGAGGCAAGAGACTCTCTTAACACCCAAGAGTTTGAGGTTACTATGAGCTGTGATGCCACAGCACTCTACCAAGGGCAATATAGTGAGACCTCCGTCTCAAAAAAAAAAAAAAGAAAGAAAGACCCATTCAAGTCACCTTCTTGACTGTCTTTCCTTGATTCTCAGACCTGAAACAGCCTTACAACTCCTTGGCACAGACAGTACCTGTGACTCCTAGGACATGGGGCTGTCTCCTCACAAGGAGGGCCCTGGGGCTCAGAAGACCCTGGGAGACCTAGAACACAGCCTGGTGTCATGCATTCTAGGGAGAGTAGGGGCCGAAACAAATGCCTGCTGAATGAATGAACAAATAAAAGACCAACTGATGTGGGAGGAAAGATCACCACAGGCCCCAAAGCTGAGTGTAGCCTGGTGGTTCTCAACCCTGGGGGAGATTTGGCAATGTCAGGAGACATTTTTAACAGTCATGACTGGCATCTAGTGGGTAGATGCCCTGGGTGCTGCGAACACCCTGCAGTGCCCAGCACGGCCTCCAGCTACCAGAGTTCATTGGGTCCACAGTGGCAGTGGTGCTGACGTTAGGAAACCCTGGTGTAGCCCAACCAGCAGAAAGCAAGAAGCTCCACAGGACTTTCCCATAGCACCAAGCTTGGGAGAAGGAGTAGAAGGAGGACAGTGGGGACAGTGACATCCTTGGCAGAAAGGTGAACACCCATACTTGAGATTGTGAGGGTCTGGGGGTGGGCACTGCCCAAACAGAGCCTTTACCTGGACCACCTGATATTCACACTTTCTCCTGCCACCACACACAGCAGCCTGGCAGTGTCCCCCTCTGGTACTGTCACAGTAGGGTGCATCCCTGTGATCATCAGCTCCCCTGGGCACAAGGAACAAGCACTGTCAGCTGCTATACAGATTATGCCCCACCCATGCCACCTGACCTCAAGGGCCACTCAGGACTGCCCTCTAACCCAGAACTCGGAGCTGGACCCATCGCTGGTTTCGGTCCTGCCCGTTGAAAGCGACACAGGTATAGAAGCCACCATCATCTGCAGCCACTCGGCTGATGACCAGAGAGCCATCAGGCTGTAGCTGGTATCTGGGGACCAAGCACAGCCAGTTGGCTCCAGCCCAAGGTGGAGGTTTCTTCCCCTAAAGCCCTGTTCCTCCCGTGGGGCCATCCAGCTGCTGGCACTTTAATTACTTGAAAAAGTCTGACTTTTAAGTCTAACAGTAAAATCATTTCCAATTTCCTGGTTTCTAGTTTTTGCTGTATTCATTTGATAAGGCTAGTCCTGGTCCTACCACATACGAGCTGGTGTGGTATTAAGCTCCTGTGTGTCACATGGGTGAAAAACGTCTGCCTCAGGAGGCTGTAGCGCAGATCAGGTGATAGAGTGAGCCTCATACTCAGTGTGCACTCGGCCAATGTCAGCAACATCACAGCCTCGTGTGTCCCTAACCCACGTCCTCCTCCAGCAGTCACCTGTCCTAGCCAGCCTCTCCTTCCTGCCCACTTGCCACACTCTAAAAAGGCCCAAGACCCAAACACTGGCCTACCCAAGGAGCCCATGCCCAGCACCCCCATCTCTTGGGGGCCCTGGAGTCCTGCCCAGGATGACAGCCCACCAGCCCCAGGGGAGGGGGCAGAATGAACCTGGGAGAAGATACAGGCTGCCCGTCTCTATGCCACTCAATGACTGGGGGTGGGAAGCCTTCAGCATGGCAGGTCAGCCGGATCCGTTGGCCTGGACTGGCATCCACCACCCTGGCCTGGTTCTGGTCCAAACGCAGCCTATAGTACAAGCATCCCCTGCGTGAGTGCCCTTGCCACTGCCCCCGACACCCACAAGTTCTCCTGCACAGTCTCATGGCACTTCCAGCCAGATTCACCCCTTGCTCTGGTTAAAATCCCAGCAGTAACTACCTAGGGTAAAGCCTAAAGCTACCCTGGACACTCAGTGCCAGGCACATCTGCCACCCAGCATCTTCATCTGCCACCTCCCCACACCACACGCTTGCCACTAGCTCCTTGACTTGGCACCCCCTCTGTAAACAGAACCATTCCTCATGGCCAGCTCCGTACCCTCTTCTAAGAAGCCATCTCTCATCCTCTATGTCTGCTGGTCTCCCTCCCCTCAGTCTGAGTCCTGGGCCCCCTCAGGAGACCAGCACAGGAGCCGTGCTTCTCTAGTCCTCACCCCAAAGAGCCCTGAGCAGACGCATACCTTCCCCTCCTCACGTCCCCAAGCTCACCCACCCTGGCCCTTGGGTGGGAGAAGCCGAGAGCAAGACAGCACTGTTGATACCTGGTTGTGGGCAGCAGGTGTGAGGAGGAGATAGCTCCTGGGCCCCCAGCATCCCTCCCTGGGCCTGAATCCTGAGGACTGTGGCCCTGGGCTGGGTCCCCAGTCTGAGGGAAGTGCCCCAGCTCAGCCTCAGACAGCACAGCCATGTTACCCTCTGTCATGAGGCCAGAAGTGAGAGGTGTGAGCTCTGGGGAGAAGGAAGTAGAGGGAAGCCTGGGCCACAAAGTGAGGCCAATGGGGAAAGCATGGAGCAATGGGGGCCACAGAGTGGTCCCTGCTTTCAGGGGAGTTGACCCAAAGCAGCACCCAGGCCCCTCTAGTGAGGGGCAGCCCTGGCCCAAGCCCCATCCTGTCCCTCCCACTCTGGGGCCTGTGAAAACCCAGCAGGAGATGGGATGGGGACAAAGACCTATGACACGAAGCTGGATCTTCTGGGAGTCCCAGCCTGGCCTGGTGCTGCCACAACTGTAGGTGCCCGCATCCTCTGCCTGCAGGGGGCTGATGACCAGGGAGCCATCAGACTGCAGCTTGTGCCTGAAGTAGGGGATACACAGATTCTGGGCTCCTGAAGGCAACAGCAGCCTTCCCTCAGGCCCCCAGAGCACTCCTGTGCCCACTCACCTCCCATCCCAGGAGAGGCTGTCACACACACACATCTGTCAGATGGAGGGGGAGGACTGTCACACACACACTTCAGATGGGGGAGGGCTGCCACACACAGCTGTGGGGAGAGAGGGAGAGGTGTCACACACACTTGTCAGGTGGGAGGAGGCTGTCACACATACAGCTGTGGGGTAGGGGGAGAGGTGTCACACACATCCGTCAGATGGGCAACAGCTGTCACACACACCTGTCAGAAGAGATGAGTTGGCCATCTTTCTGCCACCCAGTCTGAGGTTCTGGGGAGGTGTTCTCTGGACAGAAGAGCCGCACTAATTGTCCCAGGGCTGCCTGCACCAGGGAGGGCTCTGAGCTTGTCAAACTAATCCTGGAGAGGTGGGAGGCACAGAGCTACCTGCTAGCACCAGTGCCAGGACCAGGACCACCCTTCATCCCATCACAGGCACTCTCAGAGCCAGAGAGTTACCAGGGAAGTCAAGCTCCAAAAGGCTCAGACTTGGGAATCTGTCCTCCTCAACCTCCCCACATCCCCAGGCCCTGCCACCTCAAGCTGCTCTCTGACAGCAACAAGGTGGGCCTGAAGGCCAGGGGACAAGGGGACGTGTTGGGGGGTAGCACATACCAGGGGGACGTGGGCTCTAAACTACTAACTAGACCCGTAGGGAATGTAAAGCTTTTGTCTCTAATCTTTCCAAATCCCTCATTAGCATGACCTGCCCCAAACCTGGGAGACACACAGGGTGGCAGATATACATATGTCACCATTTACAGGTCAAGAAAATGGCTTAGAGAAGCTAGGTGACCTGCCAAAGGTTGTGAAGCTGGTGAGCTTTTCTAGCTGGCCAGGCCCTGGGGTACAGGCCAACATCTAATGGAGAAGGTGGGAGCCACCACCCACAGACATCTATTAGATCTCAGACAAGTCCTAAGCTGGAAGACTGGACTTCCTGGCAGGTCCCGAGGCCCCACAGGGCTCTCTGGGGAGCAGGAGTTAAGGGTGTGAAGTGGGGCCAACAACTCCAGGGTTTTGACTCTATTTACTTCTGGCCTGGTGCCTTCCCCCTTCTACCTGCAGACGTGGGCCTCACCTGTAGGAAGAGCTGTGCGAGGGTGGCGCTGGCGGTACAGCATCCCGGTCCTGTCCCCACAGCTGTTCTCCAAAAGTTGGGGGTTGGGGGGGGGCCCTGGCCTAGGCTCTTGGTCTTGCCACCAGGGGCTACCAGAAAGCAAGGGGCTTCTCTGGACTGTAGTCCCTGTCCCCTGCCAGCTAAGCTCCTGCTGGCCACGAGGACTGGTGCCACCACCCTCTGTGTGGGTGCTCTGGCCAGAGGCCCCAGGCCCAGCACGGCAGCTGCTCATGCACTCCTGCTCTGAGGCAAAGTTGTTGGCATTACCGTGGCAGCCGCCGTACCAGAAGCGGTTACACCGGCCCACAGTGGCAATGAAATACCAGCGGGCGGCCCAGTCTGCGCAGGAACCGTGGGCACTGGGTAGCAGGCACCGCACAGGGTAGGCTGGGGGCAGGGGTGGAACATATGTCAACAAAGTGCCTGTCACAAAGGCCACGACCTTTCCTGTTTACAAAGCACATCTACCTGCTTGCCCAGGTCCCTCACCTGGCCCTGGGGCATAGGACCTTTCTGCCAGAGTCTGGCCACTGCCCAGGGCTGCCTCGGGCTGCTTAGAGCTGTCTAGAGCTAGGGTCATAGCAGCTCCACCCCCAGGACAAGGACAAGAGTTAGGCTGAGGACAAAGGCTAGGATGAGGATCAGGGATGGCTCCCTCAGGCTCTGCCATTCCCTGATACTGGCCCCCTGGAGTGCACGTGTGAGACTCAGCCCTGAGCTGTCCAGGGCCTATGAAGGTACCTCTGAAGCCACCTCCAGCCCCCTGCCAGTGTGTGTGACCTGCTCCATCTCTGGGCATTCAGGACCATGGCTGCCTATCCAGGTGCCCAGCCTCTCACAGAGCCCAGACCACCAGCCCCAGCCTGGTCCCTGTGATGGCCCCCACTGCCCCACCCACATCCTAGGGTGAGGATGCCTCTGCTCATCCCGGCACTGACTGCCTGCACAGGTCTTCCTCCTGGGGATTTCCACCTGCAACCTCCCTCAGCTCCAAAAGGGACCGAGAAGGCCTCACATGCAAACCGCCAGGCAGAAGAACAACCTGACACTGCTCTTTGGTCTGACTGGCGGGTGCACTCACCAGAGCTGGGCTGGCCCACACAGCCTTCCCCAAGAGGGCCAGCTGCAGAGGCCACGTTATCATAGCAACAGCCAAACTGGGAGCCCCGGCACTCACTGGGCTCGTTCTGCTGGGCCTGGGGACGGTGAGTGTTGGGGACCTGGGGAAGAATCCCAGGATTGGGAAGTTGGGAAGAGCCCGGGCTCTTGGTGGTGACTTTGAGCTGCCTTGAGGTGACTTTGAGGGAATGATGGCAGGAGAGGGAGGACACAGAGCTGCAAAGCCTGGGTAAGCAGAGACAGGAGAATGGTGGATGAACCCCCAGCTCTAGGTCCAGGTCCTCTCCGAAGCCCAGAACTCTTGAGAGGGTGACCAGCTGGCGGGCTTGCAAGAAATCTTTCTCTAAGGCTATAGCTGCAAAGATCCTGGGTTACAGCGACACTGAGCAGGTTGGGGGGGACTGCTGC